TCTTTCTTTCTTTCTTTCTTTCTTTCTTTCTTTCTTTTTTTTTACAGAGCTAAAGACTAAACCCTATTTGTTTCTTAAATTTCTTTTTCTGTGTTGCCTGTGTGTGTGTGTCTGCAGGTGGAGGCATCAGATTCCCCTGGAGCTGGAGGTATAGATAAATGGTTGTGAGCCATCACATCATGTGGGTGCTGGGAATGGAGTCTGGGTCCCTTGGACAAGCAGCCAGTGCTCTTTTTTTTTTTTTTTTTTTTTTTAAGTTTTTTAGATTTATTTATTATGTATACAGTGTTCTACCTGCATGTGTGCCTGTGTGCCAGAAGAGGGCACTAGATCTCATTATAGATGGTTGTGAGCCACCTTGTGGATGCTGGGAATTGAACTCAGGACCTTTAGAAGAACAGCCAGTCCTCTTAATCTCTGAGCCATCTCTCCAGCCCTGCAGCCAGTGCACTTAACCTGTGAGTCACATCTCCAACCAAATTATGTCCTTAGAAACACAGCAAAACTAACAAAAAGAGAGAGAGAGAGTGAGAAAAGAAAAGGAATATGACTGGATGGTGGTGATGCACGCCTTTAAACCCAGCATTTACAAAGCAGAGGCAGGTAGTGACTTAGAGGCCAGCCTAGTCTATGTCATGAGTTCCAGAACAACCAGGGCTAAAACAGAGACAGAGAAAAACCTGTCTCGAAAACAAAACAAAACAAAACAAAACAGCTCAGTGCAGTCTAGAGAGTGGTACAGCCTTTTGGCTGGTGGCAATAGGCCAAATTCTTTTTGATAAGAACCAGAACTGGGCATAATGGTGCGTACTTGTAAATCCATCTTTTGAAAAGCTGAGGCAGGAGAATCTCAAAGTGCCTGTATGTAATAAGAGGTTTTCTTTAAAAAAGAGAGAGAGAGAAGAAAAGAAAGACAGCGCATCTGTGCTTTCTTCACTGAGCCATGGCCCACCCCTCTACCTGCACAGGACACGATGAGCTACATTGGGCCTGAGAGGACAGCAGTTGTGCGGGGGATAACGCACCGGGAAGCCTTCAACATCATTGGCCGCCGCGTAATCCAAGTGGCCCAGGCCATGTCCTTGACAGAGGATGTGCTCGCTGCTGCTCTGGCTGACCACCTCCCTGAGGACAAGTGGAGCTCTGATAAGAGGCGGCCTCTCAAGTCCAGCTTAGGTAGGCTTCCAGCTTTGTTATAGAAAGGGAGAAGGAATGAGTCCAGTAGAACAGTGGGGAAATCCAGGGAAACTGCTTATTCTTTCTTTGGTCTCCATTTAAAAAATGTTTTAGATTTATTTATTTTATGTGTATGAGTGTGTTGTCTACATGCATGTATATGTATAGCATGCATGCTTGGCAGTCAGAAGAGGGTGTCTGATCCTCTGGAACTGGAGTTAATGGTTGTGAGCCACCATGTGGATGCTGGGTATTGAACCTGGGTCCTCTGCAAGAACAACAAGAGCTTTAAAGTCTGAACAATCTCTCCTTCCTACTTTTTTGTTTTGTATTTTTGGTCTCTCTTTTTGGGTTTTGTTTTGTTTGAGACAGGGTTTCTCTTGTAGTCCTGGCTGTCCTGGACTCATTTGTAGACCAGGCTGGCCTCGAACTCACAGAGATTCGCCTGCCTCTGCCTCCCGAGTGCTGGGATCAAAGGTGTGTGCCACTACGCTCGGCTCCATGTTTTTCTTAAAGCACGCAGTAATGTTTCTTACTCTACTCTCTTTAGTTCCTTGGTGGCATCCCTACCGTATCCAGATGAGATGGGTGTAGGCTGCCTCTTTTTCCTTGATGCGCCTTTGAATTCCATGACTCCTCTTTCTATAGGCTATGAGATCACTTTCAGTTTACTCAACCCAGACCCCAAGTCCCATGATGTCCACTGGGACATCGAGGGGGCTGTCCAGCGCTATGTGCAGCCTTTCCTGAACAGCCTCAGTGCTGCTGGAAATTTCTCTGTGGACTCTCAGGTAAGACCAAGAGCCAGTTACGGAGTCTTTTTCAAAGTCTATACATATTTAATGTATGCATGGGCATCTGTTCTTCCGTCTCTTAGTGTGTGATGATTTGCTTGCTTAGCTGTGTGCCAGGCAGCGACCTGTGAGCAGGCATAGCTTGTGGGGGGCACTATGGGCACCTGTTTATTTCCATCAGTCCATTGATCCCCTGAGAGCAGGTTCCTTCCTTCCTTGGAGTCCAGCTCAGGTTTAACAGAGCAATTTCCCTAGGACGCTCAGTAGACTCATTCAGCAGTTGCACATAGATGTTAAAGCCATTTCAGCTCTTAAGGAATTTATTTTTAAAAAATATTTTCTGAAATATGAGCGCACTGTAACAGTGACACCATGAAGAACGCTGCTTGCTTTCTGTGTCACATCCTGTCCTTGTAGGGAAAACGTGGGAGGCCCTGCGCGTGGAGTGGTTGTCTCTGCATAGCAGGCTTGACTGAGTCTTGTGGACTCTGAGTTTTGCTTTCTCTTTGTGTCCCTCTTTGTGCGTTTCGAAATCGGGTAAAATGATGTGGTTTTCTAAGTATGTATTCAGTGTACTCACCTTACCTTGATTTGGTTGTTTCCTTTCATACCTGTACTTTTTCTGGGCCCTGTCTTTGTCTTGTATGTTTTGGCTTGTCTTGAGTGTGTCTTCACAGGGTCCCTCCACTATTAGAGAAAGCAGACTCAGCCTGGTTCTCTTTCTCCTCAGATCCTTTACTATGCCATGTTGGGAGTGAATCCCCGCTTTGACCCAGCCTCTTCCAGCTACTACTTGGCCATGCATAGCCTCCCCCATGTCATCAACCCAGTGGAGTCCCGGCTGGGTGAGTCCCTGAGGAGGCCTCTGCCAGGCCAGCATGGGGTTGGAGGTGGGCTGTGTGTTTTGGTGCTTTCTGAATTGGCTTGGACTGGGAAGATTTAGTCAGTCTCTCTCTGTCTCTGTCTCTCTCTGTCTCTCTTCCTCTTATCCCTCCCACTCACCTCTCCTTTCCTCCCTTTCATCTTTTCTCATCTTTCCCTTTGGTTGGTTGAGGCAGAAAGGTATAAGTTTTTATTTTGTTTTGTTTTTTTGATAGAGGGTCTCATGTAGCCCAAGGCTGGCTTCAAGCTCACTGTGTAGCCAAATAAGGCCTTAAACTTCCAATCCTCCTGCTTCTACCTCCCAAGTTCTGGGGTTACAGGCATGTGCCACCACGCCCACCTTGAAAAAACGACGTGATTTTTCTTCCCCCAGTGCTGATTGAACTCAGGGTCCCGTGCAGACCAAGCACTCACTTTATCACTGAGCTACATCTCTAGCCTTTGAAAGCAGAATTTGATTTTTCTTTTTTTGTTTTTGTTTTTTAAGACAGGGTTTCTCTATGTTAACAGCCCTGGCTGTCCTGTATCTCATCTGTAGACCAGGCTGGCCTCAAACTCAGAGTACCTGCCTCTGCCTTATGAGTGCTGGGATTAAAGGCTTGTACCACTACACCCAGCTGATTTTTCTTTTTCTTTCTTTTTTTTTTTTTTTTAATGATTTATTTATTATTATTTCACATGCATTGGTGTTTTGCCTGCATGTATGTCTGTGTGACTGTGCCAGATCCCCTGGAACTGGAGTTATAGACAGTTGTGAGCTGCCATGTGGGTGCTGGGAATTGAACCCAGGTCCTCTAGAAGAACCACAGAGCCATCTCTCCAGCCCCTTGATTTACTTATTTAGTGGGTGTTGGGGGACTGCTGTGATATGCATGTGGAGGTCAGTGTGAGAGTCCATCTTCCCTTTTGTTGTGAAGGTCCTGGGGTTCAGACTCAGGTCATGAGGTTTGGTGGCAAGCACCTTTGCTCACTGAGCTGTCTTACCAGCCCAAAGGCCACACTTGTATGGACAGCTGTGCTCTTTGAATTAGGGGAACCTTGAAGCTAGGATTATATATAATCTTTTTTTCTGGAGGAAAGGAGCCCAGGGGGAGTGGGGCCAAGAACTGTAACACAGACAGACCAGAGTTAAATGTGTTCTAAGATGGACCAGAGATCACGAGAGGAGTGCCACGAGTGTCCTCAGCAAGTTCCTCCTTCCTTCATGACTTCATTCATTCCGCCAGCATTAGCTGAAAGATGCTCTGTGCCAGTGTGAGGACAGAGACAGAAAGGCTGTTCCGGCAAAGGGAATTGGTCCAGATAAAGATGAGGGCACAGGCCCTGAGGGAGCTTGGAGTCCTTTAGAGTGGCTGACACAGGAGTGGGTGACAGCGATGAGGCTGGTAAGGCAGGCGGGCACCAGACCAGTCAGACGCTGTAAGGAGACTGACCCTTAGCCCGGTGTGAAGGCGTTTGAGGGATGGCGGAGCGCTGACCACAGTCATAATGACAGTTACAGAAGCCGAGCATAGTGGTGCAGCCCTGTAATCCCAGCCCTCGGGAGGCAGAGGCAGGAAAATCTCTGTGAGTTCGAGGCCAGGCTGGTCTACAAAGTGAGTCCATAATAGCCAATGCTGCACAGAGAAACCTGGATCGAAAAAACCAAAGCAAAAAAGACAGAGCTGAATGAAGGTCCTCTTTTTCAGTGTCCATGAGACCTGTCATAGACGGTGGGGGTGCGCTCTCAGAGGGGAGGACACCAGGGACATTTGGGGATTAAGGACTCTGTAGTACCCATTGGTGCATGTGGAAAATTTAGAAGTAGAGAGTGTCCTAGTGAGCGTCATTAGGGGGAACTGAGTCCTGCCAGCCACGGAGAGGCTGAGCCAGGAGCTACGCTCCAGGAGTCACATGTTTTGGTGTTCTAACTCTCTCTGCTTGTACCACAGGGTCCAGCGCTGCCTCCCTGTACCCAGTGATCCACTTTCTCCTCTACGTGCCTGAGCTTGCCCACTCCCCACTGTACATCCAGGACAAAGATGGGGCTCCAGTGCCCACCAATGCCTTCCACAGTCCCCGCTGGGGTGGCATCATGGTAATAGTCAGCCTGAGCAGGCCCTGGAGTCCACATGTACTTCCAGAAAACTCCCGTCAGCTTGTCTCTGGGGGAGTGGGCGGGCCCTCTGCAGCCCTTATGGGGAGGAATATGCACCAGGGAGGTGAGAGGGCTGTGCTTGTGTCACTTCTCTGCCAGCCCAGCTGCTTTGCACCTTTGTCAATACCAGTTTGCACTGGAGACAGACTAGTCTCTGTCCATCTTAGCTCTTGGCTTCCTGTAGGAGTCTTGCAATGGTGGGAACCTCTTTTTCTTTGTCCTCTAGTCCAGGGGTAGGAATCTAAAGCAAGACAACTGTTTTGAATTTCCTAGGACTTTTGAGAATACTGTACTTAAAGCTTCTTTAGTACTTAAGTACATGGGGACTCAAAAAAAAACAAGTTTGCTGTGCCTAGGGTTATACCAGAAGCATATCTTCCTTTTCTTTCGTGACCTCTGGATACTGAGCAGAGATGTGCAGTTCTGTGTGGTACTGAGGTAACCTCATTCCCTATTTTCAGGTATACAATGTTGATCCCAAAATCTATAATGCCTCGGAGCTGCCAGTGAGAGCTGAGGTGGACATGGTGCAGGTGATGGAGGTGTTCTTGGCCCAGCTGAGGTGAGGTCCTTCATGACCCCCTTGGGGCTGTCTGCGGATGGTGTGGCCACAGTCTCTGGGTATAGACAGTGGCCAAGCAGAATGAACTCTCTCCTGGTGGAGTGCTGTACTGTGCCTAGAGCCCCAGTAAGACAAGAGCCGTTTCCAGGTGGTCTTCCCTTAAGGATAGGCAGCTGCAAAACGTGAGAGAAATCGGACAGCTTTCCAGGTGTGCTTACGGTGATGAGAGGACAACTGGTTGTTGTTGTTTTTTCTTTTGAGACAGGTCTCACTGTGTAGCTTTGGCTGTCGTGGAACTTGCTTTGTATACCAGGCTGGCCTCAAACTCACAGACATCTGCCTGACCCTGCCTCCCAAGTGCTAGAATTAAAGGCATATGCCACTTCACCTGGCTTTGTTTCTTCATTTTTTTATTTTATTTTTTACTTTATGTGTATGGATGTTTTGCATGCATGCCTGGTGCCCACAATGGCCAGAAGAGGACATTGGATCCCCTGGAACTAGAGTTACTGATGCTTGTGAGCCATCAAACAAGTGCTGGAAATTGAACCCTGGTCCTCTGGAAGAGCAGCCAGTGCTCTTAACCATTAAGCCATCCTTCCAGCTGCTGTTGCTGCTGCTTCTTTTTCTTCTTCTATTTGTTTTTAAGAAAATAGCTATTTATTGTGTGCTAACCCATGAATTGAGAGTAGTCACCTAATGCTCTACGTTGAAGATGCTAGGGAGGTATCAGGCTAATTAGGAATGTTTTCTGAAAATTAGCAGAACCTCAAAGCACACATGCCTTGTCAAAGGTGGGCCTGTCAGCCCTGCCCTATGGAGTCCATTTGTTCAAAGAGAAGGTGCAGAGAGGGAAGGGCCTATCAGAAACACTTTAACCAAAGTACCTTTTTCAGAGGATATCTTAGAACTCCAGTGTGGAAATGGGAAATGCTTGATTGAGGCAGTGTTTAGAGATCTGGGTTATTTGCTGTTGGTGCTTATCCATCCCCCGCCCCCTTGGTTCTCAGTAAAATTGAAGGTGATGGGTTGGGGCAGAGACTGTGGGAATCTTAGCATTGGCATGTCTACTCACAGCAACTTTGGTCTCCCTGTGCCATTTCTACAGGCTGCTCTTTGGGATTGCTCAACCCCAGGTGCCTCCGAAGTGCTTGCTTTCAGGACCAAAGAGTGAGGGACTCATGACCTGGGAGCTGGACCGGCTACTGTGGGCTCGGTCAGTGGAGAACCTGGCCACAGCCACCACCACACTCACCTCCCTGGCCCAGCTTCTGGGCAAGATCAGCAACATTGTCATCAAGGATGGTGTGGCTTCTGAGGTAAATGGGGCAGGAAGGGATGGGCCAGGGTGCCAGTGAGCATGTCATCCTTTTATTAAACACCAGCTCCCCAGTGGGAGTCTAGGTGGAAACAAAGGAGAAAGGTTCAAGATGACTCTCAGAAAATAAGCACAACCCTTTTTTGATTAGCTTCCACATAGCTTGGGTGGGCTCCAGGATAACTCCCTGGGAAACAGAAGGTACTGAAAGGCCAGCGCCCTTCCCTGCCCCATGCCTAAGACATATTGGTAACCCCATCCCTTCACCTCCCCAGGTATATAGGGCTGTGGCTGCAGTCCAGAAGGCAGCGGAGGAGTTAGCCCTTGGGCACCTGTCATCTGCCTTTGCAGCCAGCCAGGAAGCTGTGACATCCTCTGAGCGTGCCTTTTTTGATCCTTCGCTCCTCCACCTCTTGTATTTCCCTGATGACCAGAAATTTGCTATCTACATCCCACTTTTTCTGCCTATGGCTGTGCCCATCCTCCTGTCTCTGGTCAAGATCTTTTTGGAAACTCGCAAGTCCTGGAAAAAGCCTGAGAAGATAGACTGAGCTGGGCAGCATGTCAGAGAAAGCCTTCCGGTCTAGCCAAGCTGGAGGCATCAGATTGAGAGGCCAAGCCGAGGTCTGCTGTAATGACGTGTCTTCATTCTCCTGTTGGCTCTCCACCAGCCAAAGGATGACACTCCACAGTGGGCTCATCTTCCTGTCCCTTCCTGTGGTACTACCCTGATCCTTCATGCCTAGGAGCCTCAGAAGGCACTCTTCTGGATCTCTGTATCTGGCTTGCCTGAAAGGCCTTTGTCTGTCTACGCTTGGGCAGGGTACCTTGTCCTTCCAGGCTGTCAGCACAGTATACTTATGCTCTGAGAGGTGGATTTAGGGGAGATCCTGGATTAAATGGTAGTCCCCTCCTCTCTGAGATCCTCTCCCTCCTTCCTCAACTTCTTGACTGGTGTCACCATTGGAGACAGTCTGGTCTAGGAGGCAGCGGCTTAGGACCTGCTTCTGCCTCTTGGCTAAGGTTCCCTTCTACCCTTTCAGAGAGGCAGTGTGGCACAGAAGGAAACAGTTCCCTCTTGGAATCCAACAGGCCCGAATCAGACCTCTGCTTCTGCACTTACACACTGGAGAGCTTTAGATAAGCTGCTCTGCTCACCCAGCCTCAGGGTTCATCTGTGAGATTGCACTGAAGATGTCACTCTCAGAAGCGGGTTGGATTAAATGTGATAAGCATGTAAAAGTGTTCTGTATATTGGGCTCTTTAAAAATCTATATTAGGCTCGTGAATAAACATTGGTTGGATATGAGTTGATATGACATATGAACATAACTTTTACTCATGTGTGAGAAGCAGACTGCTCTGCCCTAAGCTCATGGGCCCTGTCCTTCGTGCCTCACTTCTCAGCAGAGCCTGGGAAAATGTAGACACCTGGGCTGTGGTGTCTCCGAGCTGCAGGTTGCCTGGAGCTGTGAGTATCTGCGTCCGCTTTTTAGCAGGAGTTCTGGGGGGGGGGGGTAGCTTGGGCTAGTGACAGCACTGGGAGGCTAACTCATCAGTTCAGCACAGGAAAGCGCTGGGTGCTGGCTTCAAGGAGCTCTGTGCTGCTGCCGGGGTGTTAGAGCAGTGTGGAGTATCTCCGCCTTCATAGACCTGGCCCTTGAGGAGGACGGGGCAGGGAGCAAACACAAATAATTTCACTTAATGTATCGCAAAAACAAACAAATAAACCAGGCCGGTTAGCTGGAAATTGAGAGGAAGTACTTTAGAACTGAGTTGGTTCGGGTGTTTGAGACTTGAGCTGGAATCAGGACAAAGCTATGGGGAAAGACCTTGAAGCTAGAGCCCAGAGTCAAAGAGGAGAGGTGTTGAGTATCTACATTGTCAAAAAAAGAACCGTGAAGTTCAGGGGGACCCCCGGGATCCTGGCTCTACAACGGTAGGCGGGGCGTGTGTGACCCGGCCCCTGTAGGCGTGACCAAGGCGGGACGGCACCTGGGGCCCGGCCGGGGGTGGGGCGGTGGACGCTCCCCCTTCCCCTAGCTCCAACCGGCGCAGGCAGCAGCAGTGGTGGCAGCAGGCGCGGATCTGCGGCCCCGAGAGGCCATGAAGGTGAAGAAGGGCGGCGGCGGCGGGACTGGGCCGGGGGCGGAGCCCGTTCCAGGGGCCTCTCACCGGAGCGTGGAATCCACTCGGGAGCCCGGGGCGGAATCCGAGTCTGGGTCCGAGTCAGAGCCGGAGCCAGGCCCGGGGCCCAGAGTGGGACCGCTGCAGGGCAAGCAGCCCATCGGGCCGGACGACGTGCTGGGGCTGCAGCGGATCACGGGCGGTGAGCACCGGGCGAGGGAGCGCCACCCGCCGGCTGGAGGGAGAGCACGGGAGGGGGCCCGCGAGGCTGAGAGTCTGGCCCCTGCCCCACCCCTCCCCCACGCAGTGCCCCTCCTCTGTGTCCCCTTACTCTCCCTCTGCTCCCAAGCCTCAGATCGCTCTTCCTTCCGTTGGTCTTTTGATGCGCCCCTCCTCTCCTGTAGTGGCTTATTTTCATCCCGCTCTTTCCTTCTCAAAGGCCCACCCCTTTTCCCATGGTGGAGGTGGGGCAGCAGCTCCTTCAGTAACCCTTTTCCTGTAGAGTCTTAGGAACCTTTTGAGGTTGGCCACCCTGAGGAGTGTGCCTCATTGCAGTCTGTCTTCAGTGGCCACCTCAGGCTAGGTGGGAGGCGAGCGAAACCCTCAGACTCACTGCCCTGCTTCTCCGATGAGGGCTGAGCTATACTCGCCCCAGGAATGCTACTAATCAGGGTACTTCAGTCTACCCGCTGTAGGCCGTGTCATGGAAGCAAGTGCGTGTTCCCCAGCCTGGGTTTGTCCTTTTTCCAGGGCTCTCTCATCAAGGGAAGCCTAGTCTCCACTGGAGTTTAGTTCTTGAGCTGAGCTACCTGGATTAGAGTCCCAGTTTTGCCCCATGATCGGCTGTGTGACCTTGGGATGTAATTTCATTTGCAGGGGCATGTTTTTTTGTTTTGTTTTGTGTTTTAATCTGTAAGATGGGAACAGTATTACTTCCTTCAAGATTATTATAAAAATAAATGCTATGTCAACAGGGCTCTTTTATCAGCAGTGTTGGAGGCTACACAGGGCTGTTCAGCGTGGCTGCCTGCAGGCAGATAAGTGAGCATTCACAGCAAAGGCAGGCATCACCACAGACAGTGAGCAGGACTAGAGAGACTTCTGGCAGAAGGTTGGCTGAGCCTGGAGGAACGGAAGGTGTTTGGAGAGACAGCGGCACACTACCTTGGAATGGTGTGCCATCAGCAACCTGCTCTGGCTCCCTTGTGAGCCTGAATTCCCCTTCTGTGGGGTGGACACAGGTGCTAGCATGGGCATAAACCCTCTAGCTGCAGGAGCGGCAGAGCCCGGGGCTCCCAGATGGCCCCAGGATAGCAGGCCTGAGCTTGTGCATCTGGGTCCCTGGGGGCCTCCCTCCTCCTTCCAGAGCTAGGCAGCAGTATTCTTGGCTAGACCTCCAGAGTGCTTGCTCCCTTGGCCAAGCATGCATCAGTGGAGAGAGGGGCCTGGACAAGGCTGATGTTGAAGGCAGTGGGCTGCATTTTGTAATAGTAGCCCTTTCCTACTCACCTTGGCCCTGCCAACCTTCACCCGCCTCAGTCCTGGAGAAATGGAGGTTTATTTTGCAGCTAAGGAAGCTTAGTTACATCTGTAGGGACTTCATAGCCTGTAGAGGATGAGCAAAGGCAAGTGCTTTGTAAGAGTCCTTTCCTGTTCAGGATCTGAAAACAGGGTTTCAGGCCTCTCCATCTTGCCTGCTGTCTTCTGACCCTAATCTCTTAGGTCTGAGGTTTGCTGTTCCTGGATTACCAGGCCCCGAATCCAGCTTAGGAAGCTATTTGTGGCTACAAGGAAGAGAGCAGCTGGGTGCTGAGCCACTTCGCTCATTGCTTTGACCTGACCTTGGGTCCGGTGCCTCAGTTTTCTTGGCAGAGGGGAGGAAGTAGCTTCAGTGTTCTTAGCCCTGATCCTTACTCCCTGTAGGGACAGATTGAGTTTGCAGTGTAAGAGACTGGGGTCTAGTGTGAGAAGTTGTTCTCAGTGAGAGGAGAGGCTCCCAAGATGAGCCTAGGGTACGAAGGGAAGCTTTTCCTGGGGAGTTGGGCAAATGGGATCTTGCTTCCAGTTCTGTTCCCTCCTCTCCTTTGCTCTGCAGCATCTTCCTATAGCTTTGTCTCAGACTGTACTGAGCTGTGGTGGACAGGTCAGGGCTCAGGCCCCTCTCTAAAGCTTTATATAGTTTTTGCCAGGCTGCAAGGTGCTAGAGGGCTGTCAAGAGGGCTTCCTGAAGGGTGCTACCCAGGCTTGGGGAGGAGACAGGCCTAGGGAAGAGAGAGTGGCTTTGTATGCACTTCCTTTTTCAACTACAGAGGAATAGGAGGTGGCTTAGAGGCCTAGAGGGTGACTTCCGGGCCTCTGTGGGTTGGCGGGGAGGATGTGGTGTGCTGGAGGCCGACAGCACCCAAGCCCCCTCAGCATTTTGCTGCTCCTTCCCATTTCTTGCCTAGGATGTGCTGTAAGAACAGTAAGTTGCAAAAAGCAGGAGGAGCAGGAGTCAAGGCCAGTATCTGCCACATAGTGAGGTTAGCCTAGGCTACCTGAAGCCCTGACTTAAAAACAGCAATGACAAAAGAGTGTTAAGGGTTAGACCATGAACCCCCCTAGGCAATGCCTTGTTCTCTTTGTTTCCTCCTGAGCTCAGGACTCTCCTTGTCTCATCCATACCCCGAAGCTGCACCCACCACACCCTTCTCTGCCTTGACCTGTGCTCTTCTCTCTAAGGACCAGAGAGCACTCTAGTCCTGAGCGTGGCTCAGGGCCAAGGCTGGGAAGATGACCTCTAAGGCGTCCGTCCCTCTATTAGCTAAGACTTCCTCTCATTGGGAGATCAGCAGAGGATCTGTTGATCAAAGTCCCACTCTTCTGCCCAGTAGACTGGGCTCTGAGCTTGAGTCAGCAGAGCTGCCATAAGCTGCTTATGGGAACCAGGCTCTCGTAAGCTGCTTACGGAGGAGCGGGGATGGGGGGAGAGAACAGGGAAGGGCTACCAACCTGCCCCGATACAGCCCATGCAAGGGAAAGTCCCCTCAAGATCAGCTCTAGGCATCTAGATGGCATGCCACAGGGTGTATGTGGTGGGGGTGGGGCACACTCCAAGGAACCATAACTCCCCTCCCCCAAGAGGCAGGGCCCCACACTCCCTTTGGAGTGAGGTCCCCCTCGTGCTGGAAGCTTACACTAGGCAGGAGGTCTAGTTGTCCAAAGGATGTGTGTCAACCTAACAGAGCCGAACTTGAAATAAGGGTCCTCAAGTAGAGGGTGGGAGGGTAGGTATGTTGGAGATGACCTCCCTTGCCTGATCCTGTGAGGCCGCTAGGATGGGGCTGTTCATCCCTGACTAGGTCCCCATAGCAAAATTCTGTCCCCTACCCCGTGTGGACTTCTCCCAGTTCTCTTTCTGGAGGGCAGTGGCCAGAGGGGTAAGAGTGATCCCACAGGAACTGAATTGGCAACGGGGATGTTTTGGGGACCCTGTTTGCTCAGCTGCCTGTCTCCCCTAGATTACCTGTGCTCCCCTGAGGAAAATATCTACAAGATTGATTTCGTCAGGTTCAAGATCCGGGACATGGACTCAGGAACTGTCCTCTTTGAAATCAAGAAGCCCCCTATTTCCGGTGAGTGGGCTAGGTAGACCATTGTCAGGAAGAGGTGGGCAAACGCAGTGGAGTGGGCTGCTTAGGTTCCTTTAGCCACAGGAAGGTCAGGGCAGAGTCCCGGCTTGGACCCCAGCGTACTCAGGTGTCTATAGGTTGACAGTCCTCTTCTTTTTCTGCCACTTTCTCAGGGTGGACATCTTGGGAGCACAGTCCTGTTTAATACTGGTCAGCCTGCCCTCTGCTGGCCATCCTGGGAACTGCATTCCCAAAGGCCTCCCATAATCCTATAAACATATCTCGTGGCTCTGGGAACCTCCGAAAATTGGTTCCTCGTTGACCTAGAACTGTTGAACAAGAGCGGAGAGTTTAGAAAAGTCTGAACAGAGGCCCTTGGGGGAGGGTGGAGGAGGAAGGGCCCCGGCCTGAAGCCCGCTGAGCCCAGCTGGGGTACATTGCAGAACGGTTGCCCATCAACCGGCGGGACCTGGACCCCAATGCAGGGCGCTTTGTTCGCTACCAGTTCACACCCGCCTTCCTCCGCCTAAGGCAGGTGGGAGCCACGTGAGTCACTGGGACAGGGGTGAGGGCTGGGGGCGAGTGCGAGGGTGGGAACCGCCCTTCCAGAGCCTCTCTGTGGTGGTCCGCCTGGAGCCGGCGCCCTTGGCTGGCTGGCTGGCTGGCTGGCTGGGGGCTACTCTGAGCCCTGCTTCTCTTGACTCAGGGTTGAGTTCACGGTGGGAGATAAGCCGGTGAACAACTTCCGCATGATCGAGAGGCACTACTTCCGGAACCAGCTCCTCAAAAGCTTTGACTTCCACTTTGGCTTCTGCATCCCCAGCAGCAAGAACACCTGTGAGCACATCTACGACTTCCCGCCTCTCTCTGAGGAACTAAGTGAGTGGGGATGTGTCGAGCCCGAGCGCGGGGTGGGTGATGGGGGCCAGGGGACGGGATACCTACGCGTCTGGTCCCGCCCCTTCACCTGTCCTGGGTCACTTCCCCACCGGGCACCGCTCCCATGTCGCCAGGAGGGGAATTGGCTGAGAGACTGAGGCGGTTCATCTGGCCCTGCCTCCCCCGATCCCAGTCCTGAAGGCCCTACAGTGGCCTGGTTCAAGTTCCTAACCTTTGCCCCCGCCGGCCTCTCTTGCAGTCAGCGAGATGATTCGTCACCCATATGAGACGCAGTCTGACAGCTTTTACTTTGTGGATGACCGGCTGGTGATGCACAATAAGGCAGACTATTCCTACAGCGGGACGCCCTGACCGCCCCCTCCACTGCCCCTGCCTATGAGGCTCTGGTCTGGACCCTGTGCTGTGACCTCTCCAACATCATCTCCGCTCTGGGATGGCTCCAGTGGCTCTGGACCCTGAGTCAGTGTTGTGAGGAAGGGTGATCATCACCCCTAGGCAAGCCTCTGAAGCTCCTGGGGCCTGAAACACAGGAGGGGCCGTTGGGGAGGCTATCTGCCCCCATGTTCAGGAAGGCCTCCTGCAGGAAGAGGACTTCTGGACACCTTACTAGGTCCACTGGGCCCGAGTTTCAGAATAGTGTTCCCCTCTTGAGGCTGTGACTAGATCAGGTTAGGGATCCGTTCCCTATTTCTAGTTGTCAGTTCATAGACAAAGATCCACAGTGGGTACCCTGGTCTTAGCCCTGGCCTCAGCCCTGGCCTCCTCCAACAGGGGCCAAGACACTGCCCGAGGCGCGAGAAGGATATGTCCAGATTGCAACCTGTAGGACCTGGACAAACTGTATATAGTTTTTAATAAACCTCCTTTTCTGTTCTTGGATGCAGCCAGCCTGTGTGTCTATAGGGGAAGGTAGGGGTGGAGTGGAATGGAGGAGCCTGTGTTACTCACTTTTTATGGAAGTACATGAGCAAGTCAACTAAAGAGAAAGATCTACTTTAGTTCAGAGGTCCAAGGCCACCACATGGCCTCATCACCGTGGGCCTCATCGACTCAGGATGGGGAAGGAAAAGATCAGAGAAGGGCTGGGCCTGGAGCCATCTTCCTGCCCTCAGCTGCCTCACCACACCCTTAGCCTGGTCAGTCCTGTGCAGAAGAAGACTTCTGGTAGCCTCTGACCCTTCCCAGTGGAGGGAATTTAAGAACTGAGAAAGAGGGGCCTTGGCTTGGGGTTAACATACTGATGTTGCTGGTCATCTAGACCCCCAGGCTGAGGAACCCGTCTCTGGGACACCCAGAATCCCAGGCTCCTGTTGGTTCTGTGGAGCTCTCGCAGAGGGCCAGGATTTCTACTGAACTTTGGGAATTATATTTGTATGTGTGTATACGTTCATGTGTAGGTGGGGATACATGTCTGTGGAGGACACGGGTCTGCACTGTATGTCTTCCTCAGCCCCTCTTCACCTGTCTCTGCCCCCCACCCCGCCCACCACCCTGGGACTACAGATACCTGACACTTGCGTGAGTGTTAGATATCTGAACTCAGGCCTTCATGTCTGTGGCCAGCATTCTCACAGACCAAGCTATCTCCCCAGCCCAGAGCTTTGGTTTCTTAAGAGCAGATACTGCTGTCTCTGGAACATGAAAGGCTGCTAGGCACGCAGCAGGAAAGAGTCATTCTTCATTCTTAGAGATTTCTCAGGAGAGTTATTGAAGGAGGCAGTTTTGGAGCATCCTGTAAAGTCAGCATTGCCTCTGCTAGGAAGAGATGGCGGAGCGGACAGCCCTAAGCAAGGACTGGGAGACAAGCTTTACCAGGTAATTGGAGAGGCATATCCATCCACTGAGCTTAGGTGTGGCAGGCAGCTGCTTCTGAGGAAGGCAAAGCTTCCCCAGGCAGACTGAGCCGTGACCTGGACATGTCATCATCGCTGCTGGCTGGAAGGTGGACTGGAAAGAGGACTAAGTTTTGACCACAACAGAGATTCATTATGTGCCTAGCCAGGGGCTTAACAAGTCTTTTTTTTTTTTTTTTTTTAGATTTATTTTATTTATTACATATACAGTATTTATTAAATATACAGTATTCTGCCTGCACACCAGCAGAGAGCACCAGATCTCTATATGGTTGTGAGCCGCCATGTGGTTGCTGGGAATTGAACTCAGGACCTCTGGGAGAGCAGAGGTCTCTCTTAACCCAGAGCATGGGGCTATCTCTCCAACCCCACCTTACAGGTCTTCTTGATGGCTGTAGAAGGCGCTACTGCTGTGCCTTTTTACAGCAGCAGTCAGCCCAGACTGTTTAGTGCCCCCACCCAAAATTGCACAGCCTTCAAGTAGCAGTGCCACGATTTAAATCCAGACTGTCTGGTCCCATGTACTCCCCATCCAGTAGAGAAGGGACTATGAGGAATCGGGATAAAGGACAAAGGGAGCCTCCCTGAGATCAGGTCACTACCCACAGATAGGAGCAGATGAAACTGAAATTTTTGTTTTGAGATACTGTCATACTGTGGAGCCCAGGCTAGCCTCAAACTTCCAGTGCTCCTCCTACCTCTGCCTCTGAAGGGCTGGGGTTACAAGTGTGCGTTATCATTCTTGACCTGGTTGGGATGTGTGTGTGTGCACGATCCTATGTGTGCAGGTGTACATGAATGAGTGTGTGCATGTGTGTGCAGACTAGCGATCAGCCCTGCTTGTTATTCTTTTTATTTGTTTGTTTGGTTTGGTTTTTGAGACAGGGTTTCTCTGTGTAGCCCTGGCTGTCCTGGACTTGCTTTGTAGACCAGGCTGGCCTCGAACTCACAGAGATCAGCCTGCCTCTGCCTCCCTGAGTGCTAGAATTCCAGATATGCATGCACCACCATACCCGGCTTTGGTTGTTATTCCTAAAGAAACATCTTGTTTCTTAAGACCAGACTGGTGAGATGGCTCAGTGGTTAAAAGTACTTACTGCTCTTGGAGAAGACAAAACACCACTCCTCCCCCACAAAATAAATAAATAAAAATGAGAAATCTCTTGCTTGAGTGGAAAGCAAACTCTGCAGACCCCTCAACTGAAAAAAAATGTATGTATTTATGTGCTGTGTGCATGCCAGTGAGTGTGTGTTCAGACTCGTATATGGAATATGCAGGCGTGTGGAGGCCAGAGGCTGACATCATTGGTTGTCTTCCTCAGCTGCTTTCCACGCCGCGTGCTGAGTAGGTACGTAAGGTCTCTCGGTGAGCCGGGAGCTTGCTGACTGGACTAGTCCAGCTAGCTAGCTTGCTGCAGAGATGCCCTGCCTCCACTCCCCATGAGCTGGGAAGCTGGCCTCCACATGCGCTCAGCTTTTACGTGGGTGCGGGAACCTGGACTCCAGTCTTCACGTCTGTGTGCTGCTTCACCCACTTGCTGGAGGATCCAGGTTGCTAAGGGGGAAGCTTAGCAAGAGCTCGGGGTTGCACTGTGGGGTGGTCAGGTGTCCTGGAAACGATGACTAAGAGACAGAAGGTCGGGTCCTGAGATAAGGAAGGGGATAAGGGCTGGAGTGGGTGCTTGTTATGAGGTTATGGGTCCTTCAGTAATTGCTAAAGCTGTCTGATACCTGGGATTATTAGGCCCTCGACTGGCACCGCAGAGAGCCAGTACTAAATGATGCCGGTGTCCCTCAACCCCTAACTGAGGTCTCTAAGTGAAGGCGAGATCCTGGGTGTCCTGGTCCTGCCTAGATTTATGTCAACTTGACAGATGCTAGAGTCATCTGAAAGGAGGGAATCTCAATGGAAAAAAAAAATCCTCTATAAGATCCAGCTGTAAGGTACTTTCTTAATTAGGTTTGATTGATGTGGGAGGGCCCAGCCCATTGTGGGTGGTGCCATCCCTGGGCTGGTGGTCCTGGGCTCTATAGGAAAGCAGGCTGAGCAAGCCATGAAGACCGAGCCACTAAGCAGCACCCCTCCATGACCTTTGCCTCCAGGTTCCTGCCCTGTTCCAGTTCCTGTTCTGACTTCCCGTTCAGACCTGGAAGTGTAAGAGTCAAATAAACCCTTTCTTCTCCGAGCTGTTTTGGTCACGGTGTGTTGCATCACTGGGGAGGTCAGAATTTGAGAACGGGGTAGGAGGGAAACTCACCGTGGAGAGTAGGAACCTGTTTGTTTTGGAGTCAGGGTTTCTTTTTGCAGCCTTGGCTGCCCTGGACTTGCTTTGTAGATCAGGCTAGCCTCGAACTTACAGAGATCCGCCTGCCTCTTGCCTTCCGAGTGCTAGGATTAAAGGTGTGTGGCACCATGTCAGACTAGGAGCCTGTTTTAAGCTGAACCCAGGACCTCGGGTGTGCTAGGCAAATGCTCCACCGTTGAGCTGTTTGCCCGGAGGGTAGCATTGCCCCTGGAATCCAGACCTCAGGAATCCTTAGCGGCCACAAGAGTGAAGGCATGTGACAAGAATATAATCAGTCTGGGCATGGTGGCATACACCCATAATCCCAGCACTCAGAGGACCTCTGGGAGTGAGGCCAGCCTACTCTACATAGCAAGTTTCCAGGTCAGCCAGAGCTACAGAGAGAGACTCTGTCTCAAAAAAAAAAAAAAAAAATGTAATTGATGTGGAGGGGTTTTTGTGAATGAGGTTGCACGGGTAAACAGGTGTGGGGCTTGTTCTTGTGGCTGCTGTGGCTTGTGGGGCTACAAGTCTTCAGAAAATCATAAGTAGGACTTCCACTTGGGTCAGAAGGAAGGCTTTCCCCCACTGGTCTGGTGGACAATAAAGGACATCCCCCAAGCCCCCCCTAAGCTTCTCAAGGTCCCCCTAAACCCCCCCCCCCACAGTAGACTGAGCCTCCAGAACGTGTTTGTCGCACTTCAGCATCCACAACACAAGGGGCCCCATGCTCTGCATGCCTCATCGATAGAGTTGGGTACCAGGTTGGCTCTCTCCATCCCCTTGAGGAGGCGAGGCCAGAGGGGAGAGAGGAAAGGGAGTCCTGGCCACTTTCTTCTTTAGAGTCTTCCTGCCTCTCACACTGGTCTCGCTGCCAGTGCTGGGGCCTGCTGCTCTTGGCTCCTGGCACCATCCCCTGGAAGGAGGAAGGGAGTGAGGTGTTTAGTGCTGTCCATCTCGAAAGGACAATTCCCGAGGTCTTGCGAGGCCTCAGATAATCTCTCCGAAGCCGACCAGTCGTTGAGCTCTGCGTCTTTAGGGGTATCATGAGGATCCTACTACTGGATAGAGCAGGAAACCCAGACTCTCAGGGGTCACCCTCCTGGCTGGCCTTTGGTGTGCCTGTTGGGACTGCCAGCCCAGGTGTTAGAACATGGAGGCACCTTATCCAGTTGGTAAAGAGCAGCCATCTAGGGCTCTGGGTGCTTTCCCCGGGGCTAGCCCAACCCCTAAGTGTCAGCTTCCATATACCTGCTCTGTAGCACCTATAGCCAGCCAGGCTTTGTTTATATAAAAATCATCTATATTTGTTTATATTAAAATATATTTTCTGAGACAGGGTCTCTCTACATAGCTCTGAGTGCCGTAGGGCTATGTAGACTTGACTGCTCTTGAACTTGTTGTGGGTTCAGGAATAGCCACTGACCATTTGATCACCAGATTCAGATTGATGGAAGTTTATTGAATGCTGAACAAAAACTGACTGGTCAGGGGCCCTAGTCTGGACTCCGGGAGCCAGACTATAACCTGTCTGTCTCTAAAACAGGTTTTTTTATACAAAAAATCGTAACCATGTAACAACCAGGTAACCAGGTATAGGAAGGGGGGGGCAGTATTACATCATTTTGACTAGCTAAACATAATCGATTTTGTTCCAAGTGTATTGTGTTGTATCTAGGTAGCGAGACAAAGCATTTTAAACCGATTGGCTGGGATTTAGGGTAGGAGAGCTCTTG